CTTTTGTGATTTCATGTTTCCTACACATAAAAAAGGTTGATTTAAAAGTTTTTATTGTTGTTATTTCTGGCTAAGTGTCAGTGATGATCTCAACTATTTTTCAGTTTCTGTAGAAACGTACGTGTTTTCTTTATAAATGCTCTTTTACAGTCACCTGGTTCCAGTAAACAAGAGTGTTTGTAGAGCTTTAGTAGGTTTCTCAGTTGTGTGGAAAGGAGCGTCGTGATGAGAGAATTTGAACTTATGTGGATTTTGACCACTGAAATCAGCTAATGTGCATTTAAAAAAGTCATAAAAATTAGCTGAAAAAGAGTTGTTATCAAGCATAAGAGTAATGTACATTTACATAAATCAATATGGCAGCTTTAATGTAAAATCTACATTTTTTTGTCGGTTTTTGTTTTTGTTCCTTTATTGACTGACATAATGGAGTTAAAATTGGAGGCTTGTATATTAGCGCTCATGCAGCATGTACCCTCAGCACCTGGCCATCAGGTCGCCCACAAAACCTTGACGTTTAAATGGTTATGTGTGTCTGTATCTTTAGTGAGGAGGTGGACATGCGGGTTCGAAGCGAGGTTTGGGCCGTGTTGAACGGTCGACTGGAGGAGCTGCTGACGCTTTTAAACTCAGACTCGACTGAACCTGAGAGCACCAAGACTCTTTCTGCACTGCAGGGTTTGGCCCTCATCCTCCACCTGGCAGCCCTCTGCTCCGCTCCCATCAGGTAAGACACAAACATATGCACGTGCTGACATTCTAGCTCTTGCCCTTTTTTGTTTTTCTGTCTCACACAGGAAAAACTGACTTCGTAGTATTTTCTATTTTGTCGATTAACAGACTGTAAGAATTTCTGACTTTACTGGCCACAGTTTTGCCAGATGACTCACACAAGGATTAACGGCATATTCTGATTCTATCACTTTTTCTTTGTTAGCAGTGTGTCTCCTCTCCTCTGGGTGCCGACTGAGACTTTGGGCAGGATCCTGACGAGCTGTCAGTCAGTGTTACAAGGAGGCTCTCAATCTGTCTCGGACCAGAGCTACTTTCAGTCTGCTGTCCAGTCCACTGTCACTGTCCTTGACTCTCTACTGTATTTGACAAGTAAGGATAAAAATACCCTACATGCTGCTCTGATGACTTTGATTTTGTTTTATTAATGGATCCTATGTCACCATATAAGCATATTGTTATTTTTCATCATTTATTGTGTTTACTCTAAAGTTTCTGGAGGAAATCAAGCCCAAAGCACCTCATTTAGACAACAAGCATCTGTTTTTTTTGTTTTTTTTTTAATCTGTGCATGTAGTGAGCAGCCAGAGTGACGACGGACTCCAGCGGCGAGTGTGTGCTCTGCTGTCACTTCCCTGGGTGTGTGACAACACGTCTCTCCCAGCCTTCAGGAGTTCAGGGTTTCCCTCCTGGCTGCCTGCCTTGGCTCAGAGACTCAGCTTCTGTTACTGTGAGTACTCCTGTCACGTCAAAGTTGACATTTTTAGCTTGACGTTGAAGCACTGCACCTGCGACATGCATTTTTATTTATATTAAAGCCTCAATATTTTTGGCTTATACTAATAATGTTGCAAAGTTGCAAGATAACTGATTTTGTCAAGCCATGACAGTACTGTGAAAACTTTGGGATTGACATCAAGCCTTGTATGTTTGTCCTAGCTCCTGAGGTCCTGGCAGACTGTGTGTCGCTGCAGGCCTTTCTACATCGCCGTGTGTGCGAGCCGTGGCGTGTATTTGTGTTTTCAAAGGCGCTGGAGAGTCAGGATGAGGGTGTGAGAGCGGCAGCAGTCAGGGCCTTCCCCATTCTTCTTCACCACCTGGGAAACGCACACCACAAGCTCATCGGCAGTACTCTGCTGTATGTAAACTCACATACCTCTGCAAGTTTCTTCTTTCTCTTTTCCTTGTTGTGATGCCATTCGGTCACCGTTACTGATTTCAGGTATACGTTGTGTATTTTCAGTTCCAGGCTAGAAGACGGTTCAGAGCAGGTAAAGAAGGAGCTGGCCAGGACCATTGGTCAGCTCAGCTGCATCCAATCCGAGCTCTCCAAGCTCAGTGATGTCCACATGGGGTCCACCTGCCTTCCCAAAATCCTCTGCCTTCGCCGCAGCCTTGCAACAGAGCATTCTGGGAAAGCGGCACCATCACTCAGGGCATCTATTGTCAAACCCTTCCTTTCACTACTCAGACCAGAAGCTCCAAGCAGTGTGAAACAAGGTACGCAGGAGGGGTTTTGTTTGAGGTTTTCTTCTATAAAGAACTTTAACAACATACAGAAAGCAGAAAAGATGCTCCATTTACTTCTGTACTGTGTTACTGTTCTTGTATAATGATGCTGTGTGGTCATGATAAATCAATTTCAATGTGTATTTTTTTTTTTTTCAAACTTCATCTCGGTTTGGCAACAAATCACTGATCTTAATCACTTATTTATTTCACTGTCCCAGCTTTCCTAGAAGCTCTACCTCACCTCTGCCAGCATGTGAATCTGACTGGTGGAGACAGTGACTCCAGGGCAGTTCTCTGTGCCCTGATTGGTCTAATGGAGGATTCGGATCCCGTGGTCAGAACACAGTTCAGCCAGTCGGTGCGCTTCCTGCTGACAGAGACAACAAGTAACTGCGAACAGGGCCCTTTCAATGAGGTGAGCGTTTCAGTGGGAAGACACCAAAAGCCACAATTGTCATTATTAATATAGTATTGGAAATATTCTATCAATTTGTGGATAACTGAGCAAAACAAGCAATTGAATGTGAATTTTGATTTAATCTCTTCACTGAGTTAAAAAAAAGGTCAGTCAGTGTGGTTAAATGTTGGTTTGTGTAAATACTTGCTGTTTTGAGAGTAATGGGGAGGTGGATGATGTGTGGGTTTCTTCTCCCCACCACAGCTGATGATTGCACGTCTGAAGGAAGCGTTCAACAACGCTAAGCTCAGCAGAGATGACAACCTGCGCAACACTCTCATCCTCACCACTGGAGAGATCGGCAGGTAGAGATGCCTTTTCTTTTATCGTCGTATACACTTGCGTGTATGCGTACATAGAAAAGATCTGCTTGATCTGCATGTAATTCTGAAATTAACAACTTTGGTAGTATGCTGTTTTTTCAGCGCAGCATTACATGATGCAACCGGGTTTTAAATCTTTTGTGTCACAGAAATTATAGAGGGTAATTTGATCCTACTGTTCCTAAAGGAGTTGAAACTATCCCTGTCTCCTCTTCTGTCAGAGCGTCTCAGGGTAGTTTGGTGTCGTTCTCTCTGCTACGTCTTCTCCACTGTCTGCTGTCCAAGTCGTCCCTGGTTTCTGTAGCTGCGTACACTGAGATCAGAGCCCTGGCCACTGCCAAAGGCCTCAAACTGCAGACCCTCTTCAGTCAGTACAAGAACCCTATTTGCCAGGTAAAAAAAAAATTGTCCTGTCAATGCTGCTTTATTTAAATTGCTTCCGTTCCTTTCATTTATTTATATGACATGGATACATTTTAGTACCTCTGTTGCACAGTAATAATGAGAATAATAGTTAATTAATAAGATTAATACAAATCGTGCTACAATTTAAAAAAAAAAAAAAAAGTGCTGCTGGGAGACTTATAATGTCTTCATTCAGTTATGACTGAGGCCATTAAGCCATTTAATATGTTTTTATGACTGTAACAGTTTGTCAGTTGCTTTATAATTGTGATTCTGTTTCAAGCATAAGGTCTAAACATGTGTTTTTTTGTGTGACTGTACATTGATGTGTCTATTATGTGTGATTTGTAGGAAAGGCAGACAAATTTAGATGTACCTTTTATTAAATTTTCACCCACAGTCTCTAACATTAGCTGTATTAGATTCTGTGCATTGTAAAACGTCTGCCTTTTTCTTCTTCTCTGTGTTCAGTTCCTGGTGGAGTCGCTACATTCACGCCATGCGTCGGCGCTGCGGAGCACGCCAGATCAGGGCAGCGAGTCGGCCAATCAGAGAGAGCTGGCTCTGGACATCCTGGCTCAGATCGCACATGCTTTTGACTTCCCAGATCTCCACCGTTTCCTCACTGTATGTACAGTCACACAAACACATTACAACAACATGCTGTGTATATAATGTATGTTACCTGTGATCCTGTATAAAAGAATATATTATGTGATGTATGTTTCTGTGTTACTCCTGCATATTCGTGTATGCAGCGGACCCTCCAGGTGCTGCTTCCCTACCTGGCAGCGAAGGCGAGCTCGACAGGCTCCGCCCTCATCCGTACGCTAGCCAATGAGTTGAAGGCGAACAGGAGAGAGATCTTGATCAACAACTTCAAATACATCTTCAGCCATCTGGTCTGTTCCTGCACCAAGGAGGAGCTGGAGAGGGCCTTCCACTACCTACAGGTAATAATAGCATTACTTGTGGTTTAGAGCTGCAGTCTGTAGCTTAAAACTACAGGTAACATGATGTAGAATCAAGTTGTTTCATGTAATAGTTGTTAATATGCATTAAGCCTTTTGTCACCTGACAAGAAAAGCTTCTTTAAGGACTCTGCTTTAGCACAACATATTATACAAATACTGTTTTTATAATAAAAATGAAGGATGTTTGGGAATCTTCAGGAAATTGTCACTCAAATTCTGATTGATGCAAATGTGTTGTATAATTTATGCATTCCAACACGGCTACTGGAATGAAACTGTAATGAATATTAGTGGATTAGTATTAGTGCTGATTAATGTGCACAAAAGCCCGAGAACATTATTGCAAATTAATACTTTTTAGACAGACGCTATAAACCTTGTGCTGGCAACCGCATGATAAATGGAGTGATGCTGAGCAACCAGACTGATTTGTAATTCTCCTTCATGTTGTCCCAGAGTGAGACAGATATTGAACTGGGCTCTCTGCTGCGACAAGATTTCCAGGGTCTTCACAATGAGCTGCTGCTGCGCCTGGGAGAGCACTACCAGCAGGTCCACGCACACATTAACACACATAGCAGTCCTTCAACATTAAAGCTGTGTCAGTATTCACTCCTTTTCTTATTAACTGCTTAAATTCCTGGTATATCACCTGATCTGACATGTGTGGTTCGAAACTATGTTTTTGCTCACGTGTTTGTTTTACGTTTATTTGCAGGTTTTCAATGGTTTGGCCATTCTGGCCTCCTCTGCGTCCAATGATGACCCCTACCAGGGTCCCCGAGACATCACCACTCCAGAGCGCATGGTACCTATCAGGCTCCAATTCATATTGTTTTTATTTTTGGGCTTTTTGACAGTTGATCAAACAACATAAGCATTTATAAAACTCGTCAGACAGCAATTTGTGATATTCCTTTGTCATGTGGGACATTTTTTTCTTTTTTTTTTAAACCAAACATATATGTTATTTCTGAAAAGAGTCAATCATTCAGGAAGTATGAAGCTTTATGCAGGTAACTGAAAACTCTTATTTATAACATTTCATTCTGTTGTTTTTAACATCGATAAGGGTGGAGTATGCGGTTTTTATACAGGAAACTTTTAGTCAGATTTCCTGAATACCTCCACAGTTTGCGAGCTGTGCGTTTTGTGTGTGTGCACTGAAAACAAGATCAGAAGTTTGTGCACAGCTCTAGCTCCATAAATGGGGAAACAAAGAAAGTTTCCACATGACACGATTCCAGCTAGTCCTGTATACATTCGTACTCAATGTCCACCTATAAGCATAATAATCTAACATTTCCTCCCTTTTGTACATTTATCTGCTAGGCCGACTATTTGCAGCCAAAGCTGTTGGGGATTCTCGCCTTCTTCAACATGCAGCTGCTCAGCTCCAGTGCAGGAGAGAAGGACCGCAAGAAGTTGGTGTGTGACCCACTAATGACAGACAAATTTAATGACTGTGTGTTTTTAAATCCCTGTTAGTCCACTGCACTCTCTGCTTAGCTTGCATGTAGCTTAATTAGAAACTCTCCGGCCGTTCCCTGTGCAGGCGCTGACAAGTGTGATGGCTCTAATGCGACTGATGGGCTCCAAGCACATCAGCTCTGTCAGAGTGAAGATGATGACGACGCTCCGCACCGGCCTCCGCTACAGAGAAGACTTCCCTCTGCTCTGCTGCCAGTCAGTAGCTGCACACTTGCACATTTCATCATAAATTGCCTCCTGGCAGTGTGTTGTTTCTGTAACTGTCAAAACTGACACGTGACCTTTTTCTTAAATTAATTTCAAAGGCTTCTGTTGAATTGACATTGCACGCCCACCTCCCTGACCACCGTTAAGAAAAAGCTTGATCTGGAAATAGCTCCAAGCTTGTGTTTCTGATTTCTTGTGTTTTATCTTTTTTTATTTCCTCTGGATAGGACGTGGGAGTGTTTTGTGAGAAGCTTGGAGCCTCCGCATCTGGGCCCTCTTCTGAGTCATGTTATTGTTGCACTACTCCCCTTGATCCCACTGCAGCCCAAAGAAACTGCTGCTATCATCCGTTTTCTCATCCTGGATAACAGGTAACATACAAAGAGACAAATGAAATTAAACATTAAAGCCTCTTAAGGGGAAATTAAACTGCATTTTCCTCTTTTTCTGGCTTTAAAAATGTTAAATCATCATTTTGAGTATACAAAGCATACACTTCTTTTTTTTTTTTTGTCCAAGTACTGAGTACAAAAATATAGGATTTCTGTAGAATATTCCCTTTAAAATGCTTATACCATTAATGAAAAAGATGTGCAGTCATGTTCAGCACTGTAATACTGTAGTTCTTCCTGACACCTCCCTTCTATCAATCTGTCACAGGGAAGAAGTCAACGACTACCTCCATGAGATTTACTTCCTGCCGGACCATCCAGAGCTAAAAGACATTCACACTGTTCTGCAGGATTACAAAAAGGTCTGTATGAAGGTCATGACGTTAATAATGATAAAAAGGTGGTGACAATCATCGACAGTGATAATTTTTAAGATGATACATCAAATGTTTTATTTCTTCTAGCTGACAGCCAGCAGCAGTGACCTGGCCGCAGCACTGCAGCTTTCCATGAGAGCTGTTCAACATGAGAACGTTGACGTGAGGATCCATGCTTTGACCAGCCTCAGGGACATGATGCACAGCAAGCAGGTACACAAACACATAAAATATATACAAGTAAAACACTGTTTGACCACATAACTCAACATATCTGTTCACAAATGCTGATAATCCTGCTTTTTAGTATGAAACTTTAATATGTATGCATGTTTCCTGTAACATCCAGCTTTAAATCCCCACAGTTCCCCCACACATGTACAGAAATTTACTCCTAGAAGCTGCTCACCTCCACTGCTGCTGTTAGGTGTCAGCTACCTTTTACTGATGGAGTTTCCTTTTACTTACCATAATGTTTTAAACTATATATATTCTCCTCTGTGTGCTGTGGACTGCAGGAGTGGCTGCTGCGGCAGGTTTGTGCGAGTGAGGCGGTGGAGCCGGTCATCTCTAACCTGGTGTCAGTGCTGCTGAAGGGCTGCCAGGACTCGTCCCCAGAGGCCAGGCTGCTCTGTGGGGAGTGTCTGGGGGAGCTGGGGGCCGTGGATCCTGGACGTCTGGACCTTTCGCACACGCACACCCACGGAGACCGCAACACCTTTGTGGTAAGCAATGCGAGGAATTACTTGTACATTATAAAATTAACATGATAATGGGATAGTGGGGCTGCAAGGTGGCGCAGTTGGTAGCACTGTTGCCTCGCAGCAAGAAGGTCGCCGGTTCACGTCCCGGTGGGGGCACCGGAATCTTTCTGCGTGGAGTCTCCATGTTCTCCCCGTGCAGCGTGGGTTCTCTCCGGGTTCTCCGGCTTCCTCCCACACAGTCCAAAAACATGTTGAGGTTAATTGGTGATTCTAAATTGTCCGTAGGTGTGAATGTGAGTGTGCTTGGTTGTCTGTCTCTAAGTGTAGCCCTGTGATAGACTGGTGACCTGTCCAGGGTGTCCCCTGCCTTTGCCCTAAGTCGGCTGGGATAGGCTCCAGCCCCTCCCGCGACCCTAGTGAGGATTAAGCGGTGTATAGATAATGGATGGATGGGATAGTGCTTACATACACCTTTTCAGTTTCACAGAAATATTGTTGACTCTACTAAAGGTTTAGAGGATTTTTTCAATTCAATTGTATTTATATAGTGCCAGTTTACATCATAAGTCTTCTTGTAGCACTTTTTCAAAGTTTTGGTACCATTCTGGGTTCAGATTAGGTGTTAGTAAAAAGTACATTTTAGTGATCAAATAAATAAATTATCACACTTTTCTGTCCATAGACACATAGCCTCAAGGGATATTTTGAATATTTTAGAGAAGTGCTACCACAGCAGGTGTATTTTGCCCCTTTTGAGGAAAACTTCTATTCAATCTTATCAATATGCATGAATTGAAGCAAAATGAACTCACTGTATAGCATACTTCAGTCTGTACGCAGAAGCATCAAATTTATTTGCCACCTCGTAAACAAGTGTCCTGTGTGTTTTACCCGCTGACAGAGTGGGGTTGATGATCCAAACTTTGCCCACGATCTACTGACCGAACTGACCAGAACATTTCTGGCGTACGCTGATGATGTGAGGGCCCAGGACTCCGCTGCTTATGCAATTCAAGTACGCACACGCAAACACGTCCTCACAGTCGTGTGCACGCACCCACTTTGCAAATCCAGCATGTATGATATGTGTATCTTCTTTTTGCTCCATGTCTTGTTTTATGTTTATCTGAGTGTTTTTGTGTGCACTAAAGGAGCTGCTATCCATATTTGAGTGTCGCGAGGGTCGAACTGACTCATCAGGCCGCCGTCTGTGGAGAAGATTCCCAGAGCAAATACAAGAAATACTGGAGCCTCACCTCAACAGCAGGTATGTGTTTACACCTACATACTGTACATCTGCACTCAGATCCCGTCTTGTAATAGAATGACACATAATTCAAGGAATAAGATCCATTGAGTGAAGGTTGTTTTTCTTCATTATCCTCCCTTTCTCCTCGCTCCCCTCCCTCTTTAACTCTTTTTCATTCTTATCCTCTTACCTGCAGATATAAGAGCAGTCAGAAGGAGGTCAACTGGTCTAAGCTGAAGAAGCCAGTGTACCTCAGCAACAGAGGCAGCAAGTTCTCTGACTGGTCAGCCACCTGGGCTGGATACCTGATCAGCAAGGTTAACCGATCTCCCCTTGAATTTAGCAGCATCAAATGACCACACTCGCCTCTCTAGAGCAACATTAGCTAGTCTTTTAAGTTCAGAAGTGTTAGGTACCGATTGTATGTGTTCCAGGTGAGACATGAGCTGGCCGGAAAGGTGTTCAAATGCTGCAGTTTCATCATCAAACACGACTACAAGGTCACGATCTACCTGCTGTCTCATATTCTGCTCTACATGCTGCTGGGCTGCACGCCTGCAGAGCAACAGGAGGTGAGGACATTTACATCACTTGCACATTCAAAATAAGTTAATACAGGTGGTTTTAGTTTAGTTTTGGATTAGTTTGGGAGTTTCATTTCAGTAATATCATGTCTTCTTCAAGGTAACAGAGGAGATGCTGGCCGTGTTGACAGAGGGTGATGGACGAGGAGGCGGGCGTGGCCAGGAGACGGCCTCCAGCCTATCACAGCTCAGTACTCAGACAGTGTTTAGCATGTTGTCGCACCTGACACAGTGGAGTCGCCACATCCTGTACTCCAAACCCAAACTGAATGGTAAGAGACACAAATTTGCCAAAAGACTAGATTTAGATTTGCTAGATTATTGGCATTGTGCATTTGGACACATTGCTGTTGTTTTTTTAGATTTTTATTTATTTATTTATTTATTTTTTGATGCATGAGCAGAAGATCGGAGGTATTTGTAGAGCTACAAGACACTGACAGTTTCCCAAACGTAAAGTATTTCATCAGTGTAGGTTGAATCGATGCCCGTGTGTAAGTCAATGAGAACCAAATCAAGAATTACTTACATGAGAGTAGATTTGATCGTTTTTGTAAAAATAATGCAGAGATACTTCTACTTTTGTTCACGAATTTCCATGATTTCAAGATTCAGGAATTTTTAGTTGTCAAATGCTAAAACAATATTGGCAGTGAAATGCAAGGCTTTGCAATAACAGCAAGACGTGACAAGAAAAACATTCCATGAAATTAGAAGAAAAAAATATTCATAAATAATCATGAATGTTTTTTGAAAGTGAAATGTATACTCTGTTTATGCATGTTTATGCTTAAGGGTGTGTGTGGGTGTGCATACATCTCTGTTATGTACATATTCACAGTGCTGTTTGAGATGAGATGCTGTGATTTGGGTTTAGACTGGAGGTCAGAGTCCACAGTCCTGACAGCAAGAGTTAAAGAAGCTCTCCCTGAGTCTTTCTGTGTTCGATTTAATAATATCTGAAGTGAAAACTGAAATTGTGTGATTGCAGAGAGTGGGAATTATCAGCGTGTGGTGGCCTTCCTGAAGGGTATTCCACAGGACGTCATGGCCAAGGCCTCTCTACGATCCAAAGCATATACTCGTGCCCTCATGCACTTTGAAGCTTACATCCTAGAAAACAAAGAGAACATCCAGGACCACCTCACTTTCCTGCAGGTCAGATATGAAGTTGATTATTATTTGTTAAATAAATGACTAAGAACTTACTGTGACTCGAACATAAACTGCTCTCTTCATTAACCTCTTAGGTGGGTTTCATCCTATGAAATTTGTCAAAACTGTGAGAAAGAGAAGTTTGCAACTCTTTTGAACAATTTGCTGTCGCAGACGCTGTACGCTGCGATGCATGAGCCCGACGGAGTGAGGGGGGTCAACGCTCTGAGGAGGGAGGAGCCGTCGCTACGGGAACAGATACTTGAGCACGAGAGCATCGGTCTGCTTCGGGACGCCACCGCCTGCTACGACCGAGCCATACAGCTGGAGTCAGACCAGGTACTCACACACACCACATGAGAGCTGCCACAAGTGAAGACTTCTTTTGCTTCCATATTTATTGTTAAACAGTACCATGTATTACTCCTCTGCTGTTTTCACCTTTTACACCAGACAGCTGGTCTCAAAAGAAGACTTAAAATCTAAATTTAATCTTACTTAAATCAAAAGAGAGGCATTTTTTGGCTGAAAGGTTGCACAATCAAGTAAGTTTATCTATAATTTGAGCTCATGTTCCTCCAGTTTACTTGTGATAAGTTCTATTTACAATCTATAATCAACAAATAGAAATTGGTGCAAGTTTCAGAGCTGCAGTTGTTTGAAAATACTGGACTGAAAGAACTGAAAACAACCATGTTTTCAAAGTTAATGTCACTTTGATTTGTTGTATATGTTGTTGTTCATCCTGAGATGAAACATAATTATGTGCTGTTTACATAGGCTTTCTTGATATATGAGTATTTTTTATCATATCTTCGTGTGCAGATCGGTCACTATCATGGAGTGATGACCTCTATGCTCGGCCTAGGACAGCTCTCCACAATTATCACACAGGTTAATGGAGTACTGGCCAACAAGTAAGACACATATTTGGATACATTCGAGTCTATCTTAATTCCAATAATGGTCCTTTTAAGTTTAAGTTAAACCCACTTTATATGCAAATCTAGGCAACAGTGGAAGTCCGAACTAAACACCTACAGAGTGGAAGCAGCCTGGAAGCTTGGAAAATGGGACCTGCTGGAAGATTATTTGAGTTCAGGTAATGAAATGCATGGATGGTCCTTGGAAGATGCAGCATCTTGAACTGTTTGTGGGTCTATTATGGCACCGACACTACATTTTGTGTTACTGCTGTTTCCAGACCGTCAGTCCAGTACCTGGGGTGTTCGTCTCGGCCAGTTGCTGCTTTCAGCTAAGAAGCAGGATGCGGAAACTTTCTACGAGAAGCTGAAGCTGGTAAGGAAGGAACAGGTCGTCCCTCTGTCAGCTGCCAGTTATGAGTGTGGAACCTACCAGAGAGGCTACGAGTACATTGTCAGGTCTGTGTGCTTCACGTTTTTGTATTTTATTTCTGTTTTTGTAGTTGTAGTCCTGGTCGTCAGCAGCAATAACTTGTGATTCTAAACAAGTGCGTCTGTGTGTTTAGGCTTCACATGCTCAGCGAGCTGGAGCACACGTTCACCGAGCTGCAGAAACCTAAAGAAGGCTCTGCCCCGAGCCTCAGCCAGCTGCCTCCCCATTGGTCAGATCGGCTGGAGATGACCCAGAATTCCTTCAGGGCCAAGGAGCCGGTCCTGGCCCTCCGCCGTGCTCTGCTCAGCCTGGGACCACAGTAAGACCATAGAAACGTCAGCTGGCACATACGCACAACATCACATCTTTTTATTGTTTAAAGGTTTGAATATTTACTTAAGGCTTTACTTTTTATAGGGATAAATGTTTGTCAGAAACACTTTTTGCTCTCTTTACATTTTTTTCTACAGTATTTGCTTTTCACTACAGCATTTCTGTATCTCAAACTAATCAGTATTTATCATCAGTATTTAACCTTAAACCCAGTGTAGGCAGTCTTTTTTTGGCAACAAATTCCACAATAAGCTTTTAGCATATTATTATTCAAGTGGTCCCACTGTAAAGCACATTTCTGCATCTGCTCTTGGCTTGGATGTGGGGGCTGAAGGGGTTTTATAGAGGACTTTCACCTGACAGCATCGGTTTTGCATTCCGTGTGAAGCGGAACGACGATGTTGGCTTTTGACCCGACTATATTTAGCGCTTATGAAGTGCGGCCATGCTAATGCAGCTTTAACTCGTGCAGTGATCATCTCCCCTCTTGCGCTGCAGGACTGTGTGTCAGGAGCTGGTGGGGGAGTGCTGGCTACAAAGCGCCCGGGTGGCCAGAAAGGCAGGACACCACCAGACAGCCTTCAACGCTCTGCTGAACGCCGAAAACACACACCTGGCTGAGCTGGTCACTGAGAAGGCCAAGTGGCTTTGGTCGAAGGTATAAGCAACCCGTAAAGTCAAACAATATCCAGTGAGAAGCAGATTGAAAGGTTGTGTGTAGTGTATTTGTGTGTAGTTTGGTTTGTAGTACCTTTTGCACTGCCTAATTCAATTCCGCAAAACCAGAAAATAGCAGCTATCATTTACCAACCCCTGACACTTTTCTCTTCACAGTTCAGCTCTTGTATTACAATGATAGGATTTTCACACATAGTGTACACAGACATACAAAACACTAATCAAACCTTTTGTGTTGCCCTCTCTTCAGGGCGATGTACACCAGGCCCTGATCGTCCTGCAGAAGGGTGTGGCTCAGTGTTTCCCTGACGATCAGCCCCTGACGGACCCTCGCAGCCTCCAAACTAAAGGCAAGGCCATGCTGCTGGTGGGACGCTTCATGGAGGAAACCGCCAACTTTGAGTCCAATGCCATAATGAAGGCATACAAGGTATCAGTCATAGTTAGCAACCTTTATCATACTTTTTTGTTTTGTGGTTAGACACTATTAGCAAGTTTGCATATTATATCAATACATGAAAAAACTGAACATCAAGAGCAGAACAGTTTTTAGGATATTTCAGAGAGGCAATTCTTCCGGAAGTTGACGAAAAAGTTTAAATTACAGGCAGTAGTGCAAATATTCCAGGCCATGACTCCGGTTTCCTTTAAATTACAAAACCAGTGATGCTGCAGTTATTCCTTGATTGCAGCTGCACATTAGGGATTCACACAAAGACAATCAATTTTTATTAATTGCCTTGTTTTTCTTCTAGGATGTGACCAATCTTCTGCCTCAGTGGGAGGACGGGAATTTCTACTTAGCAAAGTACTATGACAAAGTGATGCCAATGGTGACTGATAACAAGCTGGAGAAGCAGGGGAATCTGATCCGATACATCGTCACGTACTTTGGAAAGTGAGTTTCTCTTTCTGCAGATATCCGGCCATTAATGGTCGTACCGAATGCTTTCGTCACTTACTTTAGATTCATTAGTTCCTTCGTCAACCATTCATCTAAACTGACTCCCTCTCAGCGCCCTACAGTTCGGAAACCAGTACATCTACCAGGCGATGCCTCGAATGCTGTCTCTGTGGCTGGATTTTGGAGCCAAAGTGTGTGAGTGTGAGAAAGGTGGGTGGCCAGTGTTGTCTGTGTTGGTGCACAAAGATGATACACTGATGAGGGCACTGGGTCTGTCCAATCCATTAGCAGACCCATTACTTTTTGCCTATTTACTTTGACATTCATATCCCTCTGCCACAGCCGGCCGAGCAGACAGACAGATGCGACAGGAGCTGGCTAAAATTAACACGGTCGTGAGCGAGCACTGTGCCAACTTGGCGCCGTACCAGTTCCTGACCGCCTTTTCCCAGCTCATCTCCAGAGTGTGTCACTCCAGCGACGAGGTCTTCACTGTCCTCATGACTATTGTGGCCAAAGTGTTCCTCGCATACCCCCAGCAGGCCATGTGGCTGATGACTGCAGTCTCCAAGGTTGGTAAAACGCATACCCAAGAACTTCTAAAGCCTGTTTGTTTGAGTGGCTATAAGTTTGCATAACTAGTATACAAGTCTATATAGATGTATTCCACTCTGTGTGAACTGTGGGTTTTGTATTTATGTGCGTCTGTCTTTTACAAACATTGATAATCCCATGTTAGGTTTTGCGTAATTATTGAACTGCCAGATGTTTCGGCACCTTCAAGATTAATTAAAATGCTTTTACGTCTGTGTGTTTTCAGTCGTCCTACCCGATGCGTAAGAACCGCTGCAATCAGATTCTTAAGAAAGCCATCAGTCTTAAATCGTCTCTCGAGAAATTCATTGGAGATGCCAACAGACTGACTGACAAGCTGCTGGAGCTCTGCAACAAACCGGTACACACACACACACACACACACACACACTCAAATACACATATTTGTTATAAAAATGTAAATTCTGTGTGTCTACGCTTTGTAAATTGTTGATCTAAAAAAGACGCATCTTTCAATTCAAGACGACAGATCTGTAATGATCTTCAAAACAGATGGCTGCATATAAGTGCAACTTCATTTAAAAAGTAATAAAGCATGTGTTAAGACTCTGCTTTATGGTACTCTTTATTAGATGAATACATATTCTTTTTTTTTTTTAGTTTTTTTTTTTGGCTTTTTTTGGTTATTTTTGTTGGGGGGGGGCCGGGAAGTTGGGGAGAAGAATGGGGGGAGGACATGTGGGAAAGGGTCATGAGCGGGATTCGAACTCATGACCTCCACATTGGGACTGTAGCCCTGCACATGGGACGCCAGCTTAACCAGGTGAGCTATAACAGCGCCCCAGATAAATACATATTCTAATAATCGCTTTAGTTTTCTTTGGAGCCACAGTGTAAAAATTAAGCTGCTCGTACGTTTCCAAAAGCGATTATTTGCTTATTTGAACAACTTTATGGAGCTCATTGAGGAAAGTGAACAGTATTGCTGCAGTGAATAAAGGAAGGGCACAAACAAAATGAAGTGTCATTTCATATCAGTTTTTTAGGACAATTTCTGCTCCACAAGCTCTGATCTCTCTTTAAATTTTAGAGCATAAAATGGGCATATTTATAAAGATGTTTGTAAAAATTTTAGCCTGTTATATCCTTTGTGTTACAACTTGTCAAACCTGCTCATTTCATCGTGAAAGTTCAATGACAATTAATTTTTGGAAACAAGTGTTTTATATTAAAAGTGTTTGTTTTGTTTGTTTGTTTGTTTGTTTTGTATTATTGTGGCATACAATTACATATGGTTTCAAAAACACCACTGGTTGACTTCTTTCAAGCGAATCAAAGCTGGTCGAGCAGAAGGCCCCTGATGATTTGAGACAGAATGACCCAGAACATAGTGCAGCAGTTGATCGGCATTTCTAATCATGTCTTTCAGGTGGATGGAAACAGCACCACCCTCAGCATGAGCGTTCACTTCAAGCAGCTGAAACGTCTGGTGGAGGAGTCGACCTTCAGCCAGATCCTGATCCCGCTGCAGTCGGTCCTCATCCCGACGCTGCCTTCGACAGGCGGGGCAAACACGCAGCACGACGCCTTTCCTGGACACTGGGCGTACCTGGACGGCTTCGAAGACACTGTAAGAGAAAGAGGGTGTTGAATACCAAGAGTTATGTCTCACCAGCAACATGATAACAGAAGATAGTCTTGAAATGCTAACTGGCATGTAAACACAAGCACATGTGTGTTTGCAGGTGGAGATCTTGGCCTCCTTGCAGAAGCCTAAGAAGATAAGTCTGAAGGGTACAGATGGTCGGAGCTACACTATGATGTGCAAACCTAAAGACGACCTGAGGAAGGACTGCAGACTCATGGAGTTCAACTGCCTCATCAACAAGGTGTGTGTGTGACATCGATAGAAGATTAAACAACATACACTGAGTTAATAGTATAACTGCACAGTCTTTATAGTTAGTTACAATAGATTAGTGTACTGGTAGACAATAAACTCCTTGTCATCTATGTACATGGAGGTGGACTAAATTATCATTTATAACACCTTCTGGTGTTGAATACAAACACAACAGCACTATTTATAAGAAAAGACTGGATATGCTTTTTACATTTAGATTGGCAGGAAAATGAAAAGACAGGAAATAATACAGGAACGTTGGTTTTGTAATCTTTCTTTTTATGCATTTTCATTCTACTTTTCCAACTGACAAAAGTAATTTTGCTAAAAATGTCCTCAGTGTTTTGTATTTTATGAGTGAATTTCTCTAGAGATTGTGCTTCTTCAATTTACTTTTCCAGCTAATTAAGTCTGTCAAATGCCCCGTTATTTCTTTATTATTTTTGCTTTAGTCTGGCCTCTATAAATGAATCAACATGTCTCCTTTACATTAACTGTACATTTTAAAATCCACAAAGATTAGATTTAGTACAGTGCTGTTGTGTGGATCGCATTATATTGTGCAGGTAGTAATATGTGTATTTAGTGTGTTACAACTCTCTCAAGAATGTGTGTGTGTATGCTTTCTGTGTGTGTGTGTGTGTGTAGTGCTTACGTAAAGATGCTGAGTCAAGACGGAGGGAGCTACACATCCGCACCTACGCTGTGATTCCCCTCAATGAGGAATGCGGCATCATCGAATGGGTCAACAACACTGCTGGACTGCGACACATTCTCACCAAGCTGTACAAAGAGAGAGGTACTGTCCTACATAAAGCTTATAGAGATAAACTCTAAGGTCAATAAATGTGGTGAAATAACTGAATTGTTTGTGTTTTTAAGGTATCTACCTGTCAGGTAAAGAGCTCAGGAAGCTCATTCTTCCAAAGACGGCTCCCTTTGAGGAGAAACTACGAATCCACAAGGACGTGCTGTGTGCTCGGCATCCCCCCGTCTTCCACGAGTGGTTCCTCCGGACCTTCCCCGACCCCACGTCATGGTGCGACCTTCCTTACAACTCTCCAGCAGTTACATTTTAAAAGCAATAAATGGCGGCAATAATCTAGTTTCATGTGAAGCTGTTTTTAGTTCTCAATTTAAAAATTCACACGTTCTGGGTGGTTACAGAGTCCAGTACATGTTTTAGGATGAATTAAAGAAGAAAAGTGTGTCTTTACAGGTACAGCAGTCGCTCTGCATACTGTCGCTCCACTGCCGTCATGTCCATGGTGGGTTACATCCTGGGTCTAGGAGATCGCCACGGAGAGAACATCCTCTTCGACTCCTTCACCGGAGAATGTGTTCACGTCGACTTCAACTGCCTCTTCAACAAGGTTTGAGACATAATCCATTATTTTAGTACAAATCCTAAAAAGAATATATAAATTGTTATGTTTTTAGGTATCACTTTGGTTTTGAGCACTGTTGCCTCGCAGCAAGAAGGTCGCCGGTTCGCGTCCTGGTGTGGACACCCGGGATCTTTCTGCGTGGAGTTTGCATGTTCTCCCCGTGCAGCGTGGGTTCTCTCACACAGTCCAAAAACATGTTGAGGTTAATTGGTGATTCTAAATTGTCCGTAGGTGTGAATGTGAGTGTGCTTGGTTGTCTGTCTCTAAGTGTAGCCCTGTGATAGACTGGTGACCTGTCCAGGGTGTCCCCTGCCTTCACCCTGAGTCGGCTGGGATAGACTCCAGCCCCCCCGCGACCCCAGTGAGGATTAAGCGGTGGATAGATGATGGGTGGACTTTGGTTTTGATCTACCTTTTAGCTTCATTTCTCTCCTGCCCCTTCTTTCCCTGCCCACTAGGGGGAGACATTCGACGTACCCGAGATGGTTCCCTTCCGTCTGACCCAAAACATGGTCCACGCTATGGGTCCCATGGGTACTGAGGGCCTCTTTCGGCAGGCCTGCGAGGTCACACTGAGACTAATGAGAGACCAGAGAGAGCCACTTACGAGGTACAGTTACATAAATACATTAAGATTATCAAATTATCCTATTTGACCTTTTTTTATAATCTGTAAATACACATTTAAAACAAGAACTGTGCTGGGAATCGGGTGGGTTCACAAAGCAAGTAGCATAAGTGAGTGGATGTCCTATATTTCAGTATTTTACTACACCACTGTCAGTCAGCCTTTCTAAAGTCAACATTTCTGTTTTTAATTTTCCCTCCAAGTGTGCTTAAGACCTTCCTTCATGACCCGCTGGTGGAATGGAGCAAACAAGCCAAAGGACTAACGAAAACTCAGGCCAACGAGACCGGAGAGATCGTTAATGAAATGGTGTGTACGTTTCTGGGATTCTGCCACTGAGAGTATGTTTACACACAAACAAAGCAGCACGTAGTTCTAATATAAACCCTGCATGTCGTGTCATCCCTCTCTGCCAGGCTAAAACCCACGTGTGCGACATCGAGCAGCGTCTGCAGGGAGTCATAAAGAGCAGGAATAAAGTTCTGGGTCTGCCTCTGTCAATAGAGGGACACGTCCACTACCTCATACAAGAAGCCACAGATGACAAACTGCTCTGTCAGATGTATTTGGGTTGGGGGCCTTACCTGTAGAAGCACACCTGGAAGTAAATTCAGGAGAATTTAAGATGCTTTCTGCACTTCTACAATCCCAACACTCTTGATGATTTTTGTTCTACAATTTCCACAATTGTTTTTTTGAGTTTCCAGTTCTTTTGGGGACAAATGAAGTGCCATTGTTGTACATTCTCTTGTAATAAAAGATGTGTTCGTTCAGTTTTGTCGGTAAACGTGCCTAAGTGTGTCTTCTAATCTCTTAACGCTCCTCAGATTGACAGAAGCGGTCAGACTGTCAGCTGACTGTATTTAATCCCCTGTTTCTCTCCTTCTGCTCAAACCAATAAGCTCACCTTTTTCCTCCACACCAGTGAGAGCAAAATGTTTGCTTAGGAGGCTGAAAGAGGTCGAGGAGGCAGCAGTGACATGCTAGATTTTTTTCTGTTTTGTTGTCTTTAAATGAGCGATATTTTTATTGTCCAGTCATGAGTTCAGACATTCAGAAAGTCACGGTATTTTTCGTTATTACTTTCCTTCTTTTTGTCAATGCATGGCTCCTGTTCCAAATTGCTTTAGGATAGAGACTGGACATCTTTTTTCTTTTTTTTTCTTTTTGAGGATGTCAATGAGTGACTTTTGTCTTCTCACATTTTGCAGCATGGTGTGAAGATTTTTGGGGAAAATGACAGGCGATGCAATGACTGAACTTTGTAAGGATATTGGCTTGACAAAGGAGCTGCAATTATTTATTTATTTATTTTTATAATAATTAGAATTCTTCCAGAGAATCACTGAATGTTTAAATTGCTACTTTATTTTGTTAAGTTGTTTGTGTCTGTAGGGATTATGCTTTAATTTTGAAAGGTTTAGGAGTTGTTTTTCTTTCAACAATATTTTAATTTTTTTTCACAATTTATAACAGCTATGAATGTTAATATTTAGCTATTAAACTGCTTGTTAGCTGTTTTTAAAAAATAAAATAAAATGTAAACTAACGCTAAAAAAATAAGCTAGCTTCTAGTCAACAAGATAACGGGACGTAAACAGTATATTTATTTACGTTACGAGTGACTGTTAGTTTAGTGACACTTAAACCGAAGCTGGATGTTAGTTCACACGGTTTTGGAAAACCAAACAGCCGGTTCGACCGACGAAGTACCCGGTATGACCGAAGGAGGATAAACCGTCAACGGCACTCGGCAGGTGCCCGCACTTGCGTCGTCTTCATGGGCTCGGCTGTGCGGTGTTAGACGGGGTCGTAATCCGGCTAACGGAGACGGGGCAGCGGCTAGCCGGTTGAAGCTATGGCCAGGTCTGCTAGCTGCTGTTGTTGTTGTTGTTGGTGGTTATTTGGCTTTTCAACATTGCGTTAGCTCGGTCCTATTCAGCCGCTAACGTTCGGCCGGTTTAACCCGGAGACGGTGCTCGACCTTGGGGAGGACGCTGTCATGGATTTGACGCGGCTGGCTGTGGATGCTGGTCAGTTCATCAACCGGGCGGTTCAGGTGAGCAAAACCAATAACCGGCTCAATATTCGCTAGTTAGCTTTAATAAACTGCACTGAGACGCTGTTGGCATCTTAAAGGACACCGTGTCATCGTCGTTAATAATTAAAGTGCGTAAGTTTCGCTTTAATGTTATTGTGTCTTGTCGCTCCAGTACACGGGAGAGAGTCTCGGTCAGGCCGACAAGACTGAGCTAGAGCCCGGGTTGGAGGAGCTCATAGCCCGGGTAGACGCCACCAAGACCCGCACGGACCAGATAATCTCCCAGACTGAGGTTTTGCTGCAGCCTAGCCCCGGTGAGAGACTCTGGGTGTAAATATTAACTGTTCATGGTGTCTGGGTATGTCTTGGATTTAATGAAACACTTGCAAATGTTGAGGTAATTTCTGGTGTTTTAATTTAAACACAAACTAGTGTCGTTTCTGTCTTTATTATCAAAATTCACTAATCTCCAGCTAGCATACAATACTGGCCATACAGCCTTCATAAAATTAAAGTTTATCAATCCCCAAGACAATTCTTCTGTAAAATATTATTTAGACAAAAAAAAATGATATGGCATGAGAAAAACAATAAGATATAAGCACAATAAATTACTGAAAATAGAATAAAGAAGTTAAAATAAGACTAGAATAGAGTAATGCTGGCAATGATACTGAGGTCACAAGTAACGTCACACATGTAAATAAAATATTGCACATGAATGACAGTGAAATGCAATCAAATCCATGTACTAGAAAAATCCTGTTTTGCTCTATAAACCAAACTCTACTTGTGAATCTTATCCATGGAGAGAAATTATTTCACAAGTATTTGTGTTTAATAGTAAGAAAATGTGTCTAATGGGAATTCATAAGCGTCTAATATTAATATAGTGTCTCCTGCATATGATACTTGCACATTTAGTACCTGTGCTTAGTAGTCATACTGTACAAGGCAGTTCAACTTTATTTATACGGCCCAGCATCATAAATCACTAAACTTACAATCTGAGCAGCGAAGGACAACCGCCCCCCTAAAAATCTCATGAGGAGCAGCAGTGGATGGATCCCTCTTTCAGCAGACATGCTATAAATAATGTGTAGCGTACCATGATAGAACAACTGCAGTAAAGACAATCAGGATGAGACACATGTATGAAGAAAATTTTGTTGGTGCAACTTCCTGGTACAAACAGATAAGACCTGAGCCATCCAACCTTCTCTGAACAGATATATACATGTAGATAATTAACTGGTCAAACATCTTGGACTGATAAACACACAATCTTCATCTTCACAGAAAACCTGAGCCTGTTATAGTCATTACCATCAAGTAGGCACTAGCGATTATGATAAACACCCTGAATGGCTGTGGATCTGCCTCCGGTACTCCTTCTATCAGCTCTGTTTGCTCTTCTACAATACGTACATCTTCTTTGAGCTCTCCTGTTTGCTTTGACTGTAATTGGCCTCTTTAGATGAAAAGAGATGGTTATTGTTTTGCCTGGTTGAATCCAATTACCTCAGCTAATGGAATTATGAGTGGATGTGCTCTGCAATTTATCAAATAAGAATACCGTTCAGCTGCCAGAAGCATCAAGGCTGTATTTTCGGATCACGTCTTGCGTTATCCGTCTGCAGAGTGCTTTTAGGCCGCGTGCAGGATCGTTTTAGTGTACGGCTTGAACGCAGCTGCACATTTGCTTTTGTTCCAGTAGATTACAGTACTGAATATCTGCTGGAGGTTTAGTAGCCTGTTTAGTGGTGTATTAACAACATCCATTGATTATGAAGTGTTCTTTGAAGCACCTATTTTTGAGACGCATGTTCAGGTTGAGCTCCTGAGATACTTATTTCTCAATTTAGTTATTAATCCTATTTTTTTAACCAACTTCTCAGCAATTCTGAACTATCAAGATAAATTATAAATGTGATTTTTTTAGTAGAAAATATAAAATATATAAAATATAACCCTCTGATGTATGACCTTGCCCCTGTTAAATAGGAGCACGGTTAGAGGATCGGCTGTATGCCCAGCTGGAGTGGAGCGTCCCGCCTCGGCCTCGTGCACATGAGTTAGTGGGAGATCAAATGACTCAGGCTGGGATGGAGCTTGGGTCCAACACGCCCTATGGTGAGTGCATTAATGTGGATTTTGATAGTCAGAAATGTAGAATCTACACATATACATGTAAATGCAAGTCTTTTTTTTATAATATTTGCACAATTATGTCTCACTAGCTTTTTGCTTTTATGCAGACGTGTGTTGTTTTTAATGCCCTGTGTTCAGGAAGTGCACTGATGAGATGTGGAGAAGCTCAGAAGCAGCTCGGCGAGGCAGAGAGGCAGTTTGTCCAAAGCACCAACATTCACTTTCTCACTCCTCTGCGAAGTTTCGCTGAGGGGGAATACAGAGCCATACAGGTGAAAAAAACACGTGTGTCACATGTACACCCATCAGATCTATAATTTTGGCACTCATTAGGCTTTTTCTGTCATTCATTCGTAATCTTTTGTTTATGAATTGTTGTATGTATTATAAACAAGTGTGTTTATGTGTAGGATGAGCGTAAGATGCTGGTGAATAAGCGTTTGGACTTGGACATAGCTAAGACCAGGGTGAGGAAAGCCCATGAGGCCGAGCAAGAAGCCAGAGTGAGTTACTTTAAATACTTATCAGCTTTCTCCAATGAATGAAGTATGCCCAAATCAAAGCAAAAGATGAGTCATTCCATCTCATTTCATCAAATTTTTAGAACAGCTTCACTCGACCATCTCTGATTTGTCTGGAGTTTTTCTAATCTAATAGATATTTAGCAAACTTTAGCTTAGCATGTCTAAAACTTTTCAAGCTACAACTTTGCCCGTCAACCCACACTGCC